CGGGGACAGCTCGGGGACAGCTTGGGGACAGCGTGGGGACACCCTGGGGACACCCTGGGGACAGCTCGGGGACAGCGTGGGGACAGCGTGGGGACACGGGACAGCTCGGAGACAGCTTGGGGACACCCTGGGGACACCCTGGGGACAGCTCGGGGACAGCGTGGGGACAGCGTGGGGACACGGGACAGCTCGGAGACAGCTTGGGGACAGCCTGGGGACACCCTGGGGATAGCCCTGGGGACACGGGACAGCTCGGGGACAGCTTGGGGACAGCATAGAGACATGGCTGTCTCCATGGGGACACCCTGGGGACACCCTGGGGACACTTCGGGGAACACCTTGAAGATGTGGGGACACCTCGGGGACAGCTCAGGGATGTGGGGTCACCTTGGGGACACCCTGAGGACACCTGGGGGAATGTGGGGTCACCCAGGGGACACCTGGGGGACACCCTGAGGACAGGGAGGGCATTGAGGGGCAGTTGGGGGTGACCCTGAGTGGAGCAGCCCTGGGGACACCTCGAAGACATCTTGGGGACACCCTGGGGATGTGGGGACACCCTGGGGATGTGGGGACACCCTAGGGACAGCTCAGGGATGTGGGGACATCATGGGGGTGAGGGGAAAAAAGGGGAAAATGTGAGGGGAAAAGGGAGAAATGTGAGGGGAAAAATGGGGGAAATGTGATGGGAGAAAGAGGGGGAAATGTGAGGGGAAAAGGGGAAAATGTGAGGGGAGAAAGGGGAAATGTGAAGGGGAAAAAGGAGAAAATGTAAGGGGGGAAAAGGTGGGAAATGTGAGGGGGGAAAAAGGGGGAATATGAGGGGAAAAGGGGGGAAACGTGAAGAGGAAAAAAACGGGAAATGTGAGGGGATAAAGAGCAGGAAATGTGGCGGGAGAAAAGAGTAAAGAATATGAGGGGCAAAGAGTGGGAAACATGAGGGGAAAATGGGTGAGAAATGAGACAACAAAGCAACAAGAAACAAAGAGGGTAGAAAAAGTGAGAAATGGAAAGGGAAAAGGAAAGTGTAAACCTTGAAAGGACAAAATGACAAATGCAAGAAAGGAAATAGCCAGAAAACTGAAGGGGAAAAGGGTGGGAAATGTGAGGGGGGATAAAGCAGGAAATAATAGGGAAAAAGCATGAAATGCAAGGGAGGAAAAAAGGGTACGAGGGAAAAATTGGAAACATGAGGGAAGAAAACGAGGGAAATGTGAGGGGAAAAAGAGCAGGAAACATGAGGAGAGAAAAGGGCAGGAAATGTGAGGTGAAAACTGGGAAACATGAGGGAAAAAAGGCTGGGAAATTTGAGAGGGAGAAGGGCAGAAAACGAGACAACAACGTGGCAACAAATATAACAATAAAAATTGGTGAGAAATATTAAAGGAAAGAAGATGAAAAACGTGAAAAAAAGCACAAAACTTGAGAGAACAAAATGGCAGCGAGGGCAAAAAAGGAAATAGCCGGAAACCTGAGAGGGGAAAAGGGTGGGAAATGTGAGGGGGAAAAGGGAATGCAGGAAGAATTGGTGGGAAATGTGAGGGAAAAAATGTGGGAAATGTGAGGGGAAAAGAGTGGTAAATGTGAGGAGGAAAATGGGCAGGAAACATGAGGGGAGAAAAAGGCGGGAAATATGAGGGGAAAAAAAGAGTAAGAAATGTTAGAGGCAAAAAAAGTGGGAAATGTGAGGGGGAAATAGGTGGGAAAAGAGAAAACAAAGAGGCAGAAAACGCAAAGAGAAAAATCAGCAGGAAACGTTAACAGTGAAAACGTAAAAAACAAACGAAAAGTGTAAAACTTGGCAAGACAAAATGGCGGCAAACACGAGGAAGGAAATAAGACAGAAACTTGAAGGGAAAAAAGGTGGAAAATATGAGAGGAAAAAATGCATGAGGGAAGAATTGGTGGGAAAGGTGAGCAGAAAAAAGTGAGAAACGTGAAGGGGAAAAGAGTGGGAAATGTGAGGAGGAAACGGGCAGGAAATGTGAAGGGGCAAAGAGTGGAAATGTGAGGGGTCAAGATAGCAGAAACATGAGGGGAAGATGGCGGGTAGGATTTGGGGAAAAAGTGAGGAATGTGAGGGGAGAAGTGTGAGTGGGAAACATGAGGGGAAAAGGGTAGGAAATGGGGAAAAGCGCTGGAAATGTAAGGGGAAAAAAGGCAGGGAATACTGGGAAATGTGAGGGAGAATTGGTGGCAAATGTCAGGGGAAAAAGGGGGGAAAAGTGAGGGGGAAAAGGGTGGGAAACATGAGGGGGGAAAAGGTGGGAAATGTGAGGGGGAAAAATTGGGAAAGGTGAGGGGAAAAGGACAGGAAATGTGAGGGGGAAAGGGCAGGAAAAATGAGGGGGAAAAGTGGGAAAGGTGAGGGGGGAAAAATGAGGGGAAATGTGAGGGGGAAAAGGGCGGGAAAAGTGAGGGGGGAAAAAGAGCCCAAAATATGAGGAGAGGAAAGGGAGGGAAAAGTGAGGGGAGAAAATGGTGATAAACGTGAGGGGAGAAAAGTGGGGGAAACGTGAGGGGAGAAAATGACAGCAAATGTGAGGGGGAAAAAGGGCAGGAAACATGAAGGGGGAAAAAGAATGGGAAACGTGAGGGGAAAAAAGGGAGGGAAATGTGAGGGGGAAAATAGCAGGAAACGTGAGGGGGGAAAAGGCGAGAAATGTGAAGGGGAAAAAAGGCAGGAAAATGTGAGGGGAGAAAAGGGTGGGAAATGTGGGGGGGAAGAAAGGCGGGAAACATCAGAAGAAAAGGGCAGGAAATGTGAGGGGAAAAAGAGTGGGAAATGCGAGGGGAGAAAAAGGGCAGGAAATGTGAGGGAGAAAAAGGTGGGAAATGTGAGGGGGAAAGGGCAGGAAAAATGAGGGGAAAAGTGGGAAAGGTGAAGGGGGGAAAAGGTGGGAAACATGAAGGGAAAAAAGGTGGGAAACAAGGGGAGAAAAGGGAGGGAAATGTGAAGGCGGAAAGAGCAGGAAACGTGGGGGGAAAAGTGGGAGAAATGTGAGGGGAGAAAAGGATGGCAAATGTGAGGGGGAAAAAGGATGGGAAATGTGAGGGGGAAAAGGGCGGGAAAAGTGAAGGGAGAAAAAGGTGGGAAATGTGAGGGGAAAAGAGCGGGAAACGTGAGGGGGGAAAGGACAGGAAATGTGAGAGGGAAAGGGTGGGAAAAATGAGGGGAAAAAGTGGGAAAGGTGAGGGGGGAAAGGGCAAGAAATGTGAAGGGGAAAAAAGGCAGGAAAATGTGAGGGGAGAAAAGGGTGGGAAATGTGGGGGGGGAAGAAAGGCGGGAAACATGAGAAGAAAAGGGCAGGAAATGTGAGAGGAAAAGGGCGGGAAAAATGAGGGGAAAAAGGGTGGGAAACACGAGGGGTGAAAAAGGGCGGGAAATGTGAGGGAGGAAAGGGTGGGAAACATGAGGGGGAAAAGGGAGAGAAAAGTGAAGGGACAAAAAGGTGGGAAATGTGAGGGGAAAAAAGGGCAGGAAAAGTGAGTGGGAAAAAGGCGGGAAAAGTGAGGGGGGAAAGAACAGGAAATGTGAGGGGGAAAGGGTGGGAAAAATGAGGGGAAAAGTGGGAAAGGTGAGGGGGGGAAAGGTGGGAAACGTGAGGGGGGAAAAGAACTGGAAACATGAGGAGGAAAAAGGGTGGGAAACGTGAGGGGGAAAAAGGGCGGGAAAAGTGAGGGGGAAAAAGGGCGGGAAATGTGAGAGGGAAAGGGTGGGAAAAATGAGGGGAAAAAGTGGGAAAAATGAGGGGAAAAAGTGGGAAAGGTGGGGGGAAAAGGTGGGAAATGTGAGGGGGAAAAAGAGCAGGAAACGTGAGGTGGGGAAAGGACAGGAAATGTGAGAGGGAAAGGGTGGGAAAAATGAGGGGAAAAGTGGGAAAGGTGAGGGGGAAAAGATGGTAAACATGAGGGGAGAAAAGGCGGGAAACGTGAGGGGGGAAAAAGGGCAGGAAATGTGAGGGAGAAAGAGCAGGAAACGTGAGGGGGAAAAGTGGGAAAGGTGAGGGGAGAAAAAGGCAGGGAACCAGGGGAGAAAAGGGAGGGAAACGTGAGGGGGGAAAAGAGCGGGAAACGTGAGGGAAAAAGGGTGGGAAATGTGAGAGGGAAAGGGCAGGAAAAATGAGGGGAAAAAGTGGGAAAGGTGAGGGGGGAAAAGGTGGGAAATGTGAGGGGGAAAAAGAGTGGGAATCTTGAGGGGAAAAAAGGCATGAAACAAAGGGAAGAAGGGCAGGAAATGTGAGGGGGAAAAGTGGGAAAGGTGAGGGGGGAAAAGATGGGAGACGTGAGGGGGGAAAAGGGCAGGAAATGTGAGGGGGGGACAAATGTGGCAGGGTGACAGCGCTGGGACATTGAAGTGACAAAGTGACACAGGGACGGTCAGGGTGACACAGGGTGGGTGACAGGAGGGAACAGGAGGTGACAGAGACTGATGGAATGTAACAGAAAGTGACAAAAGGTGACAGAAGGTGACAGAATGTGACAGAAAGTGGAAGTAGGTGGCAGTAGGTGACAAAATGAGACAGTAGGTGACAGTAGGTGACGGAATGTGACAAAAGGTGACAGTAGGTGACAGGGGGCAAGAGAAGGTGACAGAAGATGACTGAAGGTGACAAGGAATGACAGTAGGTGACAGGGTGACAGAGGATGACAGTAGGTGAGAGAAGGTGACAGAAGGTAACAAGCAGTGACAGTGGGTGACGGGGTGACAGAAGGTGGCAGAGGGTGACGAGGAGTGACAGAAGGTGACAAGGAGTGACAACAAGTGATGGGGTGACAGAAGGTGACAAAAGGTGACGAGTAGTGACAGAAGGTGACAAGGAGTGACAACAAGTGATGGGGTGACAGAAGGTGACAGAAGGTGACGAGGAGTGACAGAAGGTGACAAGGAGTGACAACAAGTGATAGGGTGACAGAAGGTGACAAAAGGTGACAATAGGTGACAGAAGGTGACAAGGAGTGACAGTAAGCGACAAAAAGTGACAAAAGGTGACAAGAAGTAACTGTAGGTGACAGAAGATGATAGAAAGTGACACAAAATGACAAACAGCAACAGTAGGTGACAAGAGGTGACAGAAAGTGACAGGTAATAAGGAGTGACAGTAAGTGACAAGGAGCAACAGTAGGTGACAACAGTTGACAGAAGTGACAGAAGGTGACAAAGAGTGACAGTAGGTGACAGAAGGTGACAATGGGTGACAGAAGGTAACAGTAGGTGATGGGGTGACAATAGGTGACAATAGGTGACAGGAGGTGACAGGAGGTGACAAGGAGTGATAATAGGTGACAGAAGGTGACAGTAGGTGATGGGAGGACAATAGGTGACAATGGGTGATGGGGTGACAATAGGTGACAGGAAGTGACAGAAGGTGACAGTAGGTGATGGGGTGACAATAGGTGACAGGAGGTGACAGAAGGTGACACAAGGTGACAAAAGGTGACACAAGGCGCCGGAGCGCGGTACCTGGCGGGTGGTGGTTGGCCGCATAGCCCTGCAGCGGGTGGGGCGCTCCGTAGGGCTGCCGGTGCAGCAGGTCGGGGTCGGGGTGCGACCCCCGCGAGCCCCCGTACACCAGGCT